CTTAATACAGAGACGGCAAGGAACATTGAATTAAAAGTGAAATTTTGAAGTAGAAACATTGAAATAGTTTTTTTTCTCTTATAAAACGTATTCAAATTATCTTTGTTTTATGTACATTTTCCGAAATAATGTATATAGTGTGTAATGTAATGGCAATAATTTTATCTCAAAACATTTTGTAATTTAAAAAATGTGACACGTGATATGATGACATTTTTTTTATTGTTCGGTTCAGCCTATAATAAAGTAATCTTCATCTTCAAAGTAACGCCCAATCAAATGTAGTAAAATTGGTTGAACGAAATTGGACAGGTGAGGACGCTCTTCCGAATCTAATCAACTGCGGTCAAGCCTGGCGCGCTTTTTTTATTTTTTTTATTTTTTTTTTATTTGCGCGTCTAATCTTGCACTTACGGTACGGTTTCTTGCACCGGTGTTACGAGATTTTTGGTTTCCGAGATTTTCGGTTTCAGTGGGCGGAGCATACATGAATATTCATGAGTTTCCCGGACATGCGCGTGGAACCAGGTGGAAATGAGAATTTCTGTTCAGGCTCCTTGTATCTCGGCAGGTTTAATGGAATATTTTAAAAAAAAAGGTAAATATATTTCCAGCGTTGCACAAACTACATTTGTTTATCATTTCCTAGCAGTTTATAATGTTAAAATGGATGTAAAGAAGCTGTCATACCGACGTTTCCTTTATACGTTTGCTTTTTTTAACTTTTATTTTTTATTTTAATGTTTGTAAATACATTACTTTTGTACATAAACGTTTGTATTGTACATTAATTATTATAAATCATTTATTAATGTTAATAAATGTTAATAACACACACACACTAACATTTTTAAACACTCATAAAAAGCTTTCCTTTACAGGTTTGTTCATTCTTTCAATTAATATTTGTTCAAAGTGATCCTGACTATTAATGTATTCATTTTCAAGTCATTTTGCTGTACAGTTTCAGAGAAAATTAAAGGCAAAATCACCCAAACATTCTTGCACTTGGATCATTTCCTTACATTCAAACACTCATAAAAAGATTTTCTTTATAGGTTAGCTCATTCTACCAATTGATATGTATTCAGAGTGACCCTGACTATCACTGTATTCATTTTCAAGGCATTTTACTCTATAGTTTTGGATAAAACTAAAAGCAAAATCACCCCAAACAACAAAATACATCCTAGCACTTGCACTGTGTCCCATTTTCCAACACTCATAAAAAGTGTCCCTTTATAGGTTAGCTCATTCTTTCAATTGATATGTATTCAGAGTGACCCTGACTATCACTGTATTTATTTTCAAGGCATTTTACTGTATAGGTTTGGAGAAAACTAAAAGCAAAATCACCCAAACCAACAAAATGCGTCCTAGCACTTGCACTATGTCCCATATTGCAACACTCATGAAAAGTGTTCCTTTATAGGTTATCTCATTCTTTTAATTCATATGTATTCAGACTGACCCTGACTATCACTGTATTAATTTTCAAGACATTTTACTGTATAGTTTTGGAGAAAACTAAAAGCAAAATCACCCCAAACAACCAAATGCATCTTAGCACTTGCACTGTGTCCCATTTTCCAACACTCTTAAAAAGTGTCCCTTTATAGGTTAGCTCATTCTTTCAATTGATATGTATTCAGAGTGACCCTGACTATTACTGTATTCATTTACAAGTCAGTTTTGGAGAAAATTAAAGGCAAACTCACCCCGAAAAGTGCATTCTTACACTGTATTTATTCATGAAAAAGCAAATAATTTGTATAATGTTGCACGGTTACTAAATGTTTTTGTCTTTTTTAGACAAAATAGACACTTGGATTTCACTGTTTACACTGTACTTTAATATTTACACAATTTACTTTTTATATAAAACACAAAAAAATGTAAAAAAAAAAAATATTAAAAAAAATAAATTAATCAAATGCGAGGTTCAAATGCAGCAGTGTCGTTTAAATTAAATATTCAAATAATTTACAATTATACTAACATAAAATAAAAAAAATAATAAAGCTTTCTACTTATTGCACTCTTTTGGTGTTCCATCCAATGTGGCGTTTCTTAACATTTGTCTACATGCTACCTCATGTAGTGTCCATCAGTGGCATGTGACACATTGCCAGACCTGATCAGTTCCAATTACAGTTTTGGGTATATCTACACATGTAGGATGATACCACTTTTGACAGCTGCAGCACTGGACCATGAGCTCCTTGTAATGAGCTGTTCTGCAAACACAGTAAACTGGTACTGCAGTTTTGGTCACGTTTGCCTCAGCTTCACTCTCTCGAGTCTTTATGCTAAATGTGATGCTGTTTTTTGTTAATGAAGCATACAGCTGTGCCCTCAGCCTGCCTTCATTAAACATGCATAGCTCTGGTGGATGACCCTTGCATAGAGCATATGCAAATGCTATTGAAAACACACCACAATTGCTTAGATTGGATTGCTGCTGCACAGCTGGTTGGAGAATATAAAAATGTTCTGACCGTGGCCTTACCATCCAGGACAGTGTCTGTATAGGGTTCTTTGGTCCAGAGGGGCACTTTTACTGTCATACACAGAATGCTGGTTTTCACCACAAAATAAATTGCTAACTGTGATCCAGTGGTTTTGCCGAATGTGCAAAATCTGCACAAAATTTTTTTTTGTGGAGTTCCCACAATCCCTCCATTTGCAATAGCATTAAAGGGAATTAAAGCATAAATTCAAGTGTTATTTTAATTATTTAAATCATTTTACCTTTCTCTGTTTTTCAGTCTGCTTGAGTGTTTTGGGCTCCACATACATTTGATCAGCACTGTTACCTTTCATCTCTGCCTGTGATGTGCAATAGTGAAATTAATGAACATAGCAAATATGCGTCCCTAACACAAATTTTACAATAGACAACCATACAAGTGCAACCAAGCAGTGAAAGTTGTTTTAAGCTATTAGATTGTAAGACATGATACTGTTAAGTACAAATGCATACTTGAAATGTATCAATTTAACATACTATTTGTGCAACTTCCTGACAATGTCTTGAAAGGCTGTACTACTATCATAATTGCACCATTCACTCTCCATCAGACCAATTACAGTCTTTGAAATCAGATATTAATGATAGTTATACACAAAACTCATACAAAGTAAAAGTAGCTTGAAAACAGAACATGCACCAAAAAAGGCCAGTAAAGTACAGAAAAGAAATGACTGCAGTTCAATTATATGCTAAACACAGAAGAAACATTTTATACTGTATGTAAGTTTCAAACAAGTGATAAAAAAGCTAATAAAACAATGACATAAAACACTTGCAATTAAGAGGATAAAAGTTATATTTTTATTGACGTTTAAAGGAAAACATTAACCTGGCTAAACTAATTTGACTCTTGCACCCTGTAAAATACCCTAATTAGAAATGTATACCTTATCTTTGTAGTTCAAAAAGATAGTTTGCTATTATTATTATTATTTGAGTGTGAATAGTAGAAATCTAATATATAGTAGGTAATATATATATAGTATTTGTACTATATACATTATAGTAGGTATATACTATAATATATATAGTAATATATAACTAATATATATAGTATAAACTAAAGTAGGAACAAATATATTTTTAGAGTTTTCCTTAGTTTTTATTTTTTTTATTGTACAGAAAGCTTGATTTTCAGAAGACTGCTGTACATGCAATGTAAACAAGAGTTTTATAAAGACTGAATTACAGACAGATGGTTGGATAGGCATTATGTAACCTGTGTTATGACATTTCACAATAGATGCAAATGCAAATATGTAATATTTAAGCAATTAAACACAAACAAATTATGAGAATATGATTTTATTAGGTGCGTGCATTAGTGTGCAGCAGAGTCAATAAATGTCCGCAGGTGCTGAAGCCACAGTAGACACTGTTGTGCAGTCTGATGGGTTGCACATGAGTACAACAGCATGCTGAAAGTGCTGTTGTTCTTCAAGATAGTTGTTTTCTGTAATAACAAAAGCAAAGAATTTATAAAAGTGTGATCATATTCAAACAGGGACATGACACTGCATCACTTTTATTTTTCTTTGTGTTATCAACTGTCTTTCCCTATCTCTGTGATTTGCCACTCGTTGTATAGATTTTCATTTAAATAGATAATTCAACAGTTAATCTCAATACTATATAATTGTAATGATTCAGTCAAGGATGAGAAGTGAGGAATTCCAGCTGAGCAGTTTTATTCAATAGACTGAAGAATAAGGTAAACAAAACAAAAAAACAGCTTTGCAGGCATATCACCATAAACAAACACAACAACCAACAACCAACAACCAAAAACGAAACTGACAGGGCTATAAAAACGTAGATATAAGAAATTAAACTGAAAGTGAGGAATAAGTAACCACACAAATAACGACTTCTCAAATGGATGATGAACATAATCAGTCCTTGTGGTTAAAAAGAAGGTATTCACTACATTAAATGACAGTAAAAGGTCAAATGCAAGAAGTCATTGTGTGTATAATGTATATAGTGCTTGAAAATGAGGCATGGTGCAAGTGCTTGAATAGACTTTGCTTTTTGGGGTGAGTTTGTCTTAAATTTTCTTCAAAACTATACAGTAAAATTACTTGTAAATGAATACAGTAATAGGCAGGGTCACTCTGAATAAATATAAATTGACAGAATGAGCAAACCTATAAAGGAAAGATTTTTATGAGTGCTTGAAAATGAGGCATGGTGTAAGTGCAAGAATGGACTTTGATATTTGGGGTGAATTTGCCATGATTTTCTCAAAAACTATTTTTTATTTGGCGTACTATTTATACGCACTTTCATGAGATCGGGTTGTTTTATGAGTGTTGGAATATGTGGAGATAATCCAAGTGCAACAATGGATTTTGATGCTTGGGGTGATTTTGCTTTTAGTTTTCTCCAAAACTATACAGTAAAATGCCTTGAAAATGAATAGAGTGATAGTCGGGGTCACTCTGAACACATATCAATTGAATACTGCGACGATTCTAACTTTTAATTCAAATTCAGTATCACGTTTAAAACTCTTAAAAGTTAAAAGGCCACAAGAAAGTTTGCCGTATTCTTATGGCTCATGTCATGGAGGATGAGAGAATCTGGGACGATAGAGACGCTGTTACAAAAGCATTAGATGGGGACACTGATCGTCTCGGGCTGGATGAAAACAGCCCTAAAACTAATGTGGAGGACAGTGAAGAGTTTGGAGGTCTTTACTGGTATGTAATCAAAAGAAATGAAACGTGACATTTGTTTGTTATTCCTATGTTCTAAAAGTGGCCTGACCATAACTATTCCTAACCTGTTTTATTTCATTTTAACCGCCTACCTACCTCACACGAAGGTTCAAGGCTTGTAATGCATGTTTTTAAAAACGTTTCAGACGTTGTGTTGAATTTATTTTGATATCTCTTTTTCTTAGCACATCTGAAGGGTTTTCTGAAGCTCTTAGATCTGTTGCAAGCTCACCGTTATGGAACTTTATAGGGTTTTCTCTGCCTATTTCATCCCTCTTCTCTCTGGAGAGCTCCAGTCTGAAATCATCTGACATGCACTATGTGGAAAGTGAGGTGAAAAGGTAACGTTTATGAATCACAAAATGACAATTCGGGCATCCAGTGTTAAATAACTGTTAATTTCTGTCTGTACATCAGCATTGCCCAAAAATGAAGTAGTTTCTTTTCAATCATTTTCAGGGCAGATGCTACAGAAGTCAGTCCTCAGCCAGAGGAAACCTATGTTGCCCAATTCGAATCCGAGTACATCAGCAGTTGTAAGTAGGGCTGGGAATCTATTCCAAAAAGAATCGATTCTGAGTCGTTGGGAATGGAATCGATTCCATCAAGAGGAATCGTCGACTCATTCGGAGCCTTTTTCAGTTCAACAAAGCTTATCTATGGGTGTCTCTCAAACGGAAGGCTGCATCCTACGAAGGCTGCACACATTTAAATTCATGAAAATAAACTGAAAGAAAACGAGTCCGTACTGAGATCATCTGAATTTTAGGATGCAGCCTTCCGTTTGAGAAGCACCATTCACCTCCCCCATGCTCGCTAAAAGCGATTAGAATTCTGATTAGTTTCCTGAATCGGATAGATATGAACCAGTTCAAAAAACGATTCAGAGGTTATTTTACGGTGGAACTGGCTTGTCCACAATTTTGAGCGCTGCACGACAGAATAGATCATGACGTCATCGAGGGTCTTGATCTTATTACCATCTAAAATACTATTTTTTTAAAAACATTTCTATCAGTCAATGATAATTATAAAAGAAAACGTCACGAGCATAGATCAGTGGCTGAGACCGCATCTGATTGACAGATAGGCCTAAACCACGAGCTCTATCAGTTATTGTTAATGTTCTGGTTATTTTGTTTCAGTGTACAGCTTGTTAATTTTGTGCAAAGTATAGGCCTACAGTCAAAGTAAACTTCATCATTCAGCTGAACTGTGCACATTTATTAGACGCTTCATGTCTTGTTCAATTCATGCGATAAACGCATGTCCCTGTTGAGCTGTGGGCTATGACTAATTTCACGGGTAAAGCAGACAAAATTACAATTTATTTATTGTCAAAAAATTATTATTATTTTTTTTACAAATAAAGCGTCATATTATGAGAAGGATACTTTCTACGACCTTTATCCTGCAGTCATGGTGAGATTATAGGTTCCTTCAATCTAAAAAAACTAGAATCGAAAACAACAGTGAGGAATCGATTCTTGGAATCGAT